GCGACTTTCTCTCCCTCTCTCGCTCTCACTCGCTCTCTCTCTCTCGTTCTCTCTCTCTCTCACTCGCTTCGCTCTCTCTCGTTCTCTCACTCACTCACTCGCTCTCTCTCGCACTCTCACTCACTCACTCGCTCTCTCTCGCTCTCTCACTCACTCACTCTCTCTCTCGCTCTCTCACTCACTCTCTCGTTCTCTCTCTCTCTCACTCACTCGCTTCGCTCTCTCTCGCTCTCTCACTCACTCACTCTCTCTCTCGCTCTCGTTCTCTCACTCACTCACTCTCTCTCTCGCTCTCGTTCTCTCACTCACTCACTCTCTCACTCGCTCTCTCACTCACTCACTCACTCTCTCTCTCGCTCTCTCGCTCAGCAACCGAGCGAGCGAGAGGTGGGGGGGGGGGCTCTTGCCGCAAGCCCGCGGAGAAGAGAGCCGCCCGTAAGATTCTCCTACACGAACCCTTCCCCCCTCCTCCCTCTCCTCTCTCTCCTCCACCTCCTCCTGCTGCTGCTGCTCCCTCCCATCTAATGAGAGCCACATGTGCCCCAAGCAGCGGTGAGTCCACGGCAAGCAGCGCCCCCCCCCCCCGGGGGAGACTGAGCAGTTGGACTGGTGGAGCTGTAGGGGGTGAAGATAGAGGGGGGGTAGAGGGAAGGGGGCAGGGAGACACTCACTCACGCACGCTCAGTCACTCACTCAAGCACACGCTCACTCACGCACGCTCACTCACGCACACTCGCGCACGCTCACTCGCACACGCTCACTCGCACACTCGCACACGCTCACTCGCACACTCGCTCTCTTTCTCCGCCGAGAAAATCAACCCCCCCAAGCTCTCCGGCGCCTCGGCGATCTTGGCCGCGGCGTCCCGACGTTTCGCGCCGCGGGCTGAAGAAGGACGGGGGGGGGGGGGAGAATTCACCCTCCCAGCACGCGGGGAGCCGAAACGGAGAGAGACAAGACCCTGCTCCTCCTGCTCCTCCTGCTCCTCGTCACCGTCCCGGGCACCGCCGCACAGCCAGCAGCCAGCCTCCTCGCACACTCCATCCATCCATCCATCCCGGGGCCACGTCACTTAGCCTTTTAAACCGCGCAATGAAACGGGATGATAAACAGAGCACGCCCGCTGCTTCGCCATCTCATTACGCTAATCAGATCCATGCCTCGGCAAAACACAAAAAACCTCACCGCCAATTTCAACCGCTCACCCCCCTCCCTGCCCCCTCCCCTCCCTCCCCGCAACGCACGGCTCCCCCAGGACAGCGCGGGCCTGGAAGGGCTTCGAGATCTCTCCGCCATTGGCAGAGGGCACGGGGAGGGGGCACCTTGAGCGAGCGGCGGTGTTTTTGGGTTTTGCCAAGGTCGGGGTTTCGGGGGAGGGCTCCCGCTTCGTCTTCCCGTCGCTGCTCCATCAAGGCCCCCCCCCCACCACTGCTCCCCCCCCCACACCCCGAAGGGGCCCGACAACGTCAAGGGGCCGGTAACAAACGGCACCGCCAAGTTGGCAACAGATAAAAGGGACGACGATTACGACGACGGTGATGATGATGATTATATATGGTGATGACAATGACGACGATGGGAGGGGATTCTTCCGCAGTGGAAAAGTGCGATGGAAGAGGAGGCCAATGGCAATGCAGCCATGACCTGCAGTGGGGTGAGCGAGTGAGTGTGAGTGAGTATGGGTGAGTGGGTGAGCGAGTGTGAGTGGATGAGTGGGTAGGTGAGCATGTGATTATTTGGATGGGTGAGTGGGTGAGCGGGTGAGTGTGAGTGAATGGAAGAACTAGTGAGTGCGAGTGGATGGGCGAGTGGGTGAACGAGTGAGTGTGAGTTGATGGACGAGTGGGTGAGTGAGTGAGTGAGCAAGTGAGTGTGAGTGCGAGGATGGATGAGCGAGTGAGTGTGAGTGAGTTGATGAGCGAGTGGGTGAGCGAGTGAGTGTGTGGATGGGTGAGTGGGTGAGCGAGTGAGTGTGAGTGCGAGTGAGTGGATGGATGAGCGAGTGAGTGTGAGTGAGTTGATGGGTGAGTGGGTGAGCGAGTGAGTGTGAGTGAGTTGATGGGCGAGTGGGTGAGTTGTTGCGAGCAACAGCGTGGTGCTGGATGAGACAAAAGTTTGTCAACAAAAGGGGGGCCATTTTAATGTCCGTGTCTCTCATCATCATCATCACGGTGGCTAGGAGATGTTAACTCCCTCGCCTGTCACGCAGGAAGCCGTGGGTTCGATCCCAACCCTGACGATGCCTGCCGCTGTATACATTTCATGTTCTCTCCGTGGTCGAGTGGATTTTTCTCAGGAGGTCCCTCCGGGTTTTTCCCTCCACATTTAGAGTCGCCGTACATTGCCACGCGAGATCGTTCGTGAGGGCCGGGTCGATCCTGAACAAGCGCCTCAGCTGGTGACGTAAAAATGGAGTTGCAAGTTGTGTTTTAGATACCACAGCGGAATCGGCAGCAGCAGCAGCAGGATTCCTACTTGGGCAAAATTTGTCCTTGGGTGAGAGTGGACTATGGGTGAGGGTGGACTACGGGTGAGGGTGGACTGCTGGTGAGGGTGGACTGCGGGTAAGGGTGGACGCGTCAATTCGATTGGCAAGTTTGTGCCACAGCCGTATCGCTCGCTCGCTCGCTGCGTCAACCTCCTCCGAGGGTAACGCGGGGAGGGTAATGCGGGGAGGGTAACGCGGGGGAGGGTAATGCGGGGAGGGTAACGCGGTGGAGGGTAACGCGGGGGAGGGTATCCACCGGCGACGGCGAAGATGACGAACGATCGGTCGCCCCCCCCCACACCGCTCACAATTTCAAAGCGGCAAAACCCAATAGACGCGTGGGGGGTTTGAACCCGGGCCGCGCGCGCCAGCGGCGGTCGGTAAATCGGCACCGACGGAGGGACGCGGCTTCGGCTGTACGTGGGGGGGGGGGGGGGGGGGGGGGGCTTTGTCCGGTTACGGTGATAACAACAACAAGGAAGTTAATGAGCCCGGAAGACGGAGTTGCAAGCAAGGCTGCTCACCATACCCCAACAGAGACATCAACGACAGCCGGAGGCTCTCGCCGTGTCGGGTTTCGCACGGGCAGACTCGGCGGGGTCGGAGGCGAGAGGTCGCGGGCGAGAGGTCGCGGGCGAGCGAGCCGTCGCCGCCGCCGCCTTTGAACGGCCTGGCGGCTCGCCGCCCAGCGGGACGAGGCGGCAGGTCACGTGACCAAATCGAGGGCTCCTGATGCGAGGCTTTCGTGACTGCAGGAATCAACACTATCCGGTTGTTTCGGTAAAGTCACGGGGGTAGAAAACTAATACAAGCTTTGTCAAATCCACGCTCGCGTTCCAGCGTAGCTGGGGAGCGCGTCGCAATCCGCTCGCGACATCGCCGGCGCTGACGCGCTCCAAGGCCGTTCATCTATCTAACCGACAAAGCCGGCCCGAGTCTCGGGGCTTCCTTGTCGGCAGGAGGGTGCTGCCGCTACGCTGGGCCGTGAACTCCTGGCGAGGCTTCGGCCCGGGGACAAGACCCGGGGAAGCCCACGGCGCCACCGCGTGGATCGGAGGCCGGCGAGAGCGGCGAGCGCGCAGGCCGACCGCCGCCTTTGCCACGGGGCCCTCGAAGCAAAACTAAAAACTGTGTAAACTAAAAACTTGTAAACTAAAAACCGTGTTTTTAGTTTACGAAGCTGGTGCCCCCGCAGAGTTGTACAGATCTTTTTCAGAAGCGACCTGAAATCAAATGACGGCTTGTCACGTGGAAAGTTACAGCAACAGCCAAATACTCAGAACGCGTGACGTCGATTTTAAATGAGGGGAAAAAACGGAGAAAAATCCACGTGATCACGGAGAGAGAGACACGCAAACTCCGAATCTACAGCAGGTGTCACGGTCGTGATCGAACCCACGGCCTCCTGTACACCAGGCGAGGGAGTTAACATCTCCTAGTCACTGTGATGATTCACCCTCACCACGGTGCGATTCACCGTCACGATTAGGGTCCGAGATTTATACACGCACACACGTGGGAGCGCACGCATACACGCACGCACACACACACACAGGTGTTCGCACCGAAAGACACGGGCAGGCTCAGGGGACCGCTTGGGATATCCGTCGCCGACGCTGTCCCCGAGTTGGAATCGAACTCGGTCCGCCGCCTTCGAAGCCGGCGGACCGCTCCCTACAGGACACGCACACGCACGCGCAGATGCGCGCGCGCCCGCACCGCCCCTCAGCAGTCCAAACAAACACAGCCCAAGAAGCACTCGGCCTCTGTTTACGAAACGCGACGGATCTTCGCACTGAACGTAAACCGTTTAAAATTGCCTTCCGGCTACAGCTCGGGGAAATAAGGGGGGGGAGGGGCGGACTGGGGGGGGCAGCGCGGTGGGGTAGAGGAGCACACGACCATGGGGGTCGACGGCACCGCAGGCCCGATTAGCGGCGGTGACTGGAGGGGTGGTGGGTGAGGGACTCCACGTACTTCCGACGGCACCGGACCGGGAAGAACCACGCGGCAACATCGCACCCCCCCCCCCCCACGTGCGCTTGCAGGATGACCGCGCACGGCAAAAGTAATTGGCGACGATTTGACGACGGCCGGCGACCGAGATCTATCCCCTCGAAGGCCGCGTCTCGTTGACGCGCTGCGCACGTTGAGCAACGTACGTAGGTAACCGTGCCCGTCGTCATCGTCGGAGGTGGTGGTGGAGGTGGTGGTGGTGCTGGTGGTGAGGGGAGAGGAAGAGCAAACTGGAAGCGCGCACAGAGAGGACGCCGCCGCCGCGTCTCGGCGCTCGGCAGCGCTCCACAGGTCTCGCCGCTGCGATCCGCATCTCCCGGCACGGCAGCTGAAACTTCGGTGTACACCCCCCCCACCGCCCCCCCCCCGCCCCCGGCAGGATCTCCGGGTTGGCCATGGCGCGGTGCGGCGCTAGCAGCTGCCCACACGTGACGTGGGCACGCGCGCACAGAGGGCGCGACGCGCGCGCGTCACCTAGCAAGCGGCCGCCCCTCACCTGCTGATCTCGCAGGCGACGCGCCCCTTGACCTCGATGACGTCGCTGGGCGAGCAGTAGCCCAGGCGGCGCAGGACGCGCTTGCGGTTCTTGAGCTCGTCGGCCTGCAGCACGGTGCGGGCACGCTTCAACTCGCGGCGGGCCGCCTTCACCTCCACCGCCAGCTGCACGCACAAACACACACACGCACACACGCACGCACGCACACACGCTCACGCACACACACACACACACGCACGCACACACACGCACACACACACGCACACACGCACGCATGCACACACGCACACACGTTAGTGGCGTTGTGTGTGTATTAGTGGTATGTGTGTGTTAGCGGTGGGTATTGTGTGTGTATTAGTGTGTGTGTGTGTGCGTTAGCGGTGTGTGTGTGTGTTAGTGTGTCTGTGTTAGTGTGTGTGTTAGCGGTGTGTGTGTGTTAGTGTGTGTGTTAGCGGCGTTGTGTGTGTGTTAGCGGTGGGTATTGTGTTAACGGTGTATGTGTGTGTGTGTTAGTGGTGTGTGTGTGTGTGTGTGTTAGTGGTATGTGTGTTAGCAGTGTGTGTGTGTGTGTGTTAGCGGTGTGTGTGTGTTAGTATGTGTGTGTCTGTTAGCAGTGTGTGTGTGTTAGCGGTGTGTGTGTGTTAGCAGTGTATGTGTGTGTGTGTTAACGGTATGTGTGTGTGTGTTAACGGTATGTGTGTGTGTGTTAACGGTATGTGTGTGTGTGTTAGCGGTGTGTGTGTGCGTTAGCAGTGTATGTGTGTGTGTGTTAACGGTATGTGTGTGTGTGGTTAGCAGTGTATGTGTGTGTGTGTGTGTTAACGGTATGTGTGTGTGTGTTAGCGGTGTGTGTGTGTGTGAGTTAGCAGTGTATGTGTGTGTGTTAACGGTATGTGTGTGTGTTAGCGGTGTGTGTGTGTGTTAGCGGTGTGTGTGTGTTGGCGGTGTGTGTGTGTTCACGGGAGGTGTGTGTCTGTTAGCAGTGTGTGTGTGTGTTAGCGGTGTTGTGTGTGTGTTAGTGGTATGTGTGTGTGTGTTAGCGGTGGGTATGTGTGTGTGTTAGCGGTGTATGTGTGTGTGTTAGCAGTGTGTGTGTGTGTTAGCGGTGTGTGTGTGCTAGCGGTGGGTATGTGTGTGTGTTAGCGGTGTATGTGTGTGTGTTAGCAGTGTGTGTGTGTGTGTGTGTTAGCGGTGTGTGTGTGCTAGCGGTGGGTATGTGTGTGTGTTAGTGGTATGTGTGTTAGCGGTGTGTGTGTGTGTTAGCAGTGTGTGTGTTAGCAGTGTATGTGTGTGTGTTAGCGGTGTGTGTGTGTGTGTTAACGGAATGTGTGTGTGTGTTAACGGTATGTATCTGTGTTAGTGGTGTGTGTGTGTTAGTGATATGTGTGTGTTAGCTGTGTATATGTGTGTTAGCAGTATGTGTGTGTGTGTTGGCGGTGTGTGTGTGTTAACGGAATGTGTGTGCGTGTTAACGGTATGTATCTGTGTTAGCGGTGTGTGTGTGTGTGTTAGCGGTTTGTGTGTGTGTGTTAGCACTGCGTGTGTGTGTGTTACAAGTGTGCGTGTGTGTGTGTTACAAGTGTGCGTGTGCGTGTGTAGGGTGGTTAGGCGGGCGGCCGTGGTGCTGCCAACCCACCACCTCGTGTGCCGTGCCGGCCTTCATGAAGTACTCGCTAACAGCACTTGCCCCAACAGCCTGTTAAAGCTATATGGGGGATCTTTGTCTTTGGTATGTGTGCGTGTGACTGTATCCGATGGAGGACCACACAAAGTGCACACGGCACTCAGCCCCTACGCAGAGATTAGGGGCCAGCGTTGTTTAGGGGCAGCATGGCCAGAATCACACACAGACACACACACAGACACACACACAGACACACACACAGACACACACACAGACACACACACAGACACACACACAGACACACACACAGACACACACACAGACATACACACAGACACACAGAGACACACACAAAGATCCCCCGTATAGCCTTAACAGACTGTTGGGGCAAGTGCTGTTAGCGAACACCTATGAAGGCCGCAAGGGTACACGAGGGGGTGGGTGGCCAGCATCACGCCCGACCGCCTTTGTCTCCCCAGTGGCGATAATCGTCACTGGTGTTGGCCGTGAGCGGGAATCGAACTCGGGTCGCCGGGTTCATAGCGCAGCGCGCTAACCGCTACACTATCGCTCCCCACAGACACACACAGACAAACACACACACAGACATACCAGACGAGAATCACACACACACACCAGACTAGAATCACACACACACACACCAGACTAGAATCACACACACACACACCAGACTAGAATCACACACACACACACCAGACTAGAATCACACACACACACACCAGACTAGAATCACACACACACACCAGACTAGAATCACACACACACACCCCAGAATAGAATCACACACACGCACGCACGACACACAAGACATGTACGCACACAAACACACACGGGCCCACACCACAACCATATTATGTAACACGTGCGCACACACACACACGGGCCGCATGAGAACAACAACCGCCGTTCGCCACTAAGTGTTGTTGACGTCGCTTGCGGCGCCTGTGCCAAGCGCGGTGCGCGCTAGCCACATCCGGACAAAGCTCCCCCGAGTAGCCTCAACAGGCTGTTGCAGCAAGTGCCGTTAGCGAGCACCTGTTAAGGCCGGCAGGGGGCACGGGGGGCTGGGCGGCCAGCACCACGCCCGGCCGCCTTTGTCTCCCCAGTGGCGATGTTCACACGCCGCACCGGGTACTCATTCGAGGCCGAGTCGACCTAGGCGAGGCCCAGGACCGGTTCAGATAATCGTCACCGGTGATGGCCGTGAGCGGGAATCGAACTCGGGTCGCCGGGATCGTAGCGCAGCGCTGTAACCCGCTACACCACCGCTCCTCACACACACACTGCACGCGTACAACAACAACCGCCATTCACAACTAAGTGGCGGTGACGTCACCACGGCGCTTGTGCCAGGCCAAGTGCACTTTGAGGCCACGTGAAGTGTCGAACGCCAGTTGGCAGGAGGTCACGGGACAGACCCGGCAGGTGCCACGGGTCGACTGACTGAGATGAGTGGCCGATGCACCACCTGTGCCTCCCTACTGTGCCAACTCGCTGTGCTTTAGCCACCCGGCACTCCGCTCATTGTTGTGAGAGCGTCGCTCCTCCGCCCTCCGCTGTTGCTGGAGGGCGACTGCCTCCAACTGCCCAGTAGCGGCCTTCACGAGCCTCCTCCACAGAGGCCGATCTTGACCCCGCTGGTACCAGTCATCGGCAAGTCCACTCAGCTCCACATCCCCCTCCATACACACACACACACACATGCTCCACACACACAGACAGACAGACACACACACACTCCACACACACACGTGCGTACGCGCGGTGCGGGGGGGGGGTCGACAGCTGACCTGCATCTTGTCCTGGCAGCGCCGGCAAAGCTCCTCGAGGGCGGGGTCCGCGTGCAGCGGGTGGGAGAACATTCGCCGCTCAAACGCCTCCACCTTCTGCACCAGCTTCTTGAGGCCCGGGTCCTTGATGCCCATGTCGTCCACAGGGTCAAGCAGCGGCACGCCGTCCGGGAAGCGCTTGTGCACCTCCTGGGTACGGCAGAGAGGGACGGAGGGATGAGAGGCGTGGGGGGGGCGGGAGAGAACTTGCGATGACGGGAGTTGTCCTTGTCGTCACCACCGTCGTCACCACCGTCGTCACCACCGTCGTCACCACCGTCGTCACCACCGTCGTCACCACCGTCGTCACCACCGTCGTCACCACCGTCGTCACCACCGTCGTCATCACCGTCGTCACCACGGGGGGAGGGGGGGGGTGAGGCAAGGCCCAAGGGCATGGCGGGGTTCGCCCTTCGAAGGCATCCTCAGCACGGCAACCCACCTCTGTGGGGTTCCCGTGGCACAACAGACGGTGCGGCGAGAGGGACGATCGGCACGAGGCCCATTGCCGCACGGGGTACCGATTGCGGCCGTGCTCCATCCACTGCTGGGTGAAGGCCTGCCCCCCCGGCCCCCCGCCCCCCCCCCCACTCGTCAAGAACTAGAAACCATCGAACAAAAAATTATGCAGACCGCCAAAAGCAGGATAAAATCTGCCATTTTGCGCCGAAACATTGCAGACTCTGCAGTAGCGTTCCGATGGCCTGGGTCCGCAGAAACCACAAGTTGGGGAACCGCCGCTCCAGAGGGGCTACCGCAGCAGGGCCGACCTCCGGCGGGCAGCCGCTGCACCAGCAGTGGAGAGAGCAAGACACGCGCGGAACCAGCGGCAGCGCGCGGCATCCAGGATTAGTGCGGGATCCCGAAACTGTTTTTATATTTTAGCAGGCAAGGCCCCATTGAGTAACGTAGCTCTTTTTCAGCAGCGATTTGGCGATCGCAAATGACAGCTCAACGAAGTGGGCTCATCATCATCTTGTGGACATTCAAAGCGGCCAAATTCTCTAAACGGAAGACCCCGGAGAAAAGTCCACGCGACCACAGGGAGAGAGACGCTCGCAAACTCCAAAATATACAGCAGGTGTCAGGGTCGGGGGATCGAAACAACAACCTCCTGTATACCAGGCGAGGTAGTTAACATCTCCTAGTCACCGTGATGATGATGATGATGAGAGAGACACAGACTCCAAATATACAGCAGGCATCGTCAGGGTCGGGATGGAACCCACGACCTCCAGTATACCAGGCGAGGTAGTTAACATCTCCTAGCCAACGTGATGATGATGATGAGAGAGACACAGACTCAAAATATACAGCAGCAGGCGTCAGGGTCGGGATGGAACCCACGACCTCCTGTATACCAGGCGAGGTAGTTAACATCTCCTAGCCAACGTGATGATGATTAGAGAGACACAGACTCCAAATATACAGCAGCAGGCGTCAGGGTCGGGATGGAACCCACGACCTCCTGTAGACCAGGCGAGGTAGTTAACATCTCATAGCCACCGTGATGATGATGATGATGAGAGAGACGCAGACTCAAAATATACAGCAGCAGCAGGCATTATCAGGGTCGAGGGATGGAACCCACGACCTCCTGTATACCAGGCGAGGTAGTCAACATCTCATAGCCAACGTGATGATGATGATGAGAGAGACGCAGACTCCAAATATACAGCAGCAGCAGCAGGCATTATCAGGGTCGGGTGATGGAACCCACGACCTCCTGTATACCAGGCGAGGTAGTTAACATCTCATAGCCACCGTGGCGCCCAACTCCGTGGCGGCAGGGCCCACTCTTTTTGGAGGCCTCGGGGCCTACGTGGCCAAAACAAAACAACTCCCTCCACTCCACCCGCACATTTTTGGCAACGTCGCAATTTAACTTCTTGACATCTTAAAGGCGCTGGGAGGCGGGCAGAGAATGGGGGGGGTGGGGGAGGAGAGGGGCCTGGCAATGCCGCTGGCGCTGCCAGGAGGAATTAGCGCCGCGATGCGCGACGGACTGCTCGCCAGCGGCGGAGCGCGGTGACGCGCTTGCGTGCGTGCGATGGGACCGCGCGCACGAAGAGTGCGTCTTGTTTTGTTATGATTAGTAGCGCCGCCCCCCCCCCCGCCCCACAACACCGAGCGTCGTTACGACTCTTGCTCCAAAACAACGAGAGAGAATTGGTTCCAACTCAATAGGAGAAATGTTTGGGTTTTTTGGGGGTTTGTGTGTTTTGATTAATTCGTTTGGCGAAACGTTCAAGAATAACACGGCGGCAGGCGAGCAGCTGGCGTGGGGAGAGGAGCGGAGTCGCTAACTCACTCGCTCTCGCTCACTCGTTCACTCGCTCTCTCTAGCTCGCTCGCTTTCTCTCGCTCTCTCGCTCGCTCACTCTCTCTCTCACTCTCTCTCTCGTTCACTCACTCGCTAACTCACTTGGTCACTCTCGCTCTCACTCTCTCTCGCTCTAACTCACTCTCACTCGCTCACTCTCTCACTCACTCACTCTCTCTCTCACTCACTCACTCACTCTCTCACTCACTCACTCACTCTCTCGCTCACTCTCACACTCTCGCTCACTCTCACTCGCTCACTCGCTCACTCGCTCACTCACTAACTCACTCTCACTCTCATACTCTCGCTCGCTGCTCCACTCACTCTCTCACTCACTCACTCACTCTCACTCGCTCTCCTCGCTCTTCTCTCTCGCTCACTCTAGCTCGCTCAGCTCTCACTCTTGATCTCACTCTCACACTCTCCCTCGCTCTCACACTCTCCCTCGCTCACTCACTTCTCCTCGCTCTCATCTCGCTCTCACATCACTCGCTCTCATCGCTCTCTCACTCACTCGCTCTCCTCGCTCTCATCGCTCATCTCGCTCATCGCTCTCACTCGCCACCGCTCACTCCTCTCTCGCTCTCATCGCATCACCTCGCTCTCTCGCTCTCTCGCTCTCGATCGCTAACTTGTCGCTCTCCCTCGCTCTCTCCGCATCTCTCGCTCACCCTCGCTCTCTCTTCGCTCTCACTCACTCGCTCTACATCCTCTCATCGCTCTCATCGCTCTCTCACATCACTCGTCGCTCTCTATCTCTCTCACTCTCTCCTCGCTCTCTCACTCTCTCTCACGCTCTCTCACTCTCTCTCACTCTCTCACGCTCTCTCACTCTCTCTCACTCTCTCACGCTCTCTCTCACTCTCTCTCACGCTCTCTCACTCTCTCTCACGCTCTCTCACTCTCACTCTCTCTCACTCTCTCACGCTCTCTCACTCTCTCTCACTCTCTCACGCTCTCTCACTCTCTCTCACTCTCTCTCACTCTCTCTCACGCTCTCTCACTCTCTCTCACTCTCTCACGCTCTCTCACTCTCTCTCACGCTCTCTCACTCTCTCTCACGCTCTCTCACTCTCTCTCTCTCCCCATCTAGCCCCACGTGAGCGGTTCTCTACCTGCGGTAACGCCCACCGCTGGGGAGGATTGGAGTGAGATGAGAGGGGAGAGAGGCAGGAGAGTGCGTGGAGGGGAGTGGAGCGAGATGAGAGGGGAGAGAGGCAGGAGAGTGCGTGGAGGGGAGTGGAGCGAGATGAGAGGGGAGAGAGGCAGGAGAGTGTGTGGAGGGGAGTGGAGTGAGATGAGAGGGGAGAGAGAGGCAGGAGAGGGCGTGGAGGGGAGTGGAGCGAGATGAGAGGGGAGAGAGGCAGGAGAGTGTGTGGAGGGGAGTGGAGCGAGATGAGAGGGGAGAGAGAGGCAGGAGAGTGTGTGGAGGGGAGTGGAGCGAGATGAGAGGGGAGAGAGGCAGGAGAGGGCGTGGAGGGGAGTGGAGCGAGATGAGAGGGGAGAGAGGCAGGAGAGGGCGTGGAGGGGAGTGGAGCGAGATGAGAGGGGAGAGAGGCAGGAGAGTGTGTGGAGGGGAGTGGAGCGAGATGAGAGGGGAGAGAGAGGCAGGAGAGTGCATGGAGGGGAGTGGAGCGAGATGAGAGGGGAGAGAGGCAGGAGAGTGCGTGGAGGGGAGTGGAGCGAGATGAGAGGGGAGAGAGGCAGGAGAGGGCGTGGAGGGGAGTGGAGCGAGATGAGAGGGGAGAGAGGCAGGAGAGTGTGTGGAGGGGAGTGGAGCGAGATGAGAGGGGAGAGAGAGGCAGGAGAGTGCGTGGAGGGGAGTGGAGTGAGATGAGAGGGGAGAGAGAGGCAGGAGAGTGTGTGGAGGGGAGTGGAGCGAGATGAGAGGGGAGAGAGAGGCAGGAGAGTGCGTGGAGGGGAGTGGAGTGAGATGAGAAAGGAGAGAGAGGCAGGAGAGTGTGTGGAGGGGAGTGGAGTGAGATGAGAGGGGAGAGAGAGGCAGGAGAGTGTGTGGAGGGGAGTGGAGCGAGATGAGAGGGGAGAGAGAGGCAGGAGAGTGCGTGGAGGGGAGCGGAGCGAGATGAGAGGGGAGAGAGAGGCAGGAGAGTGCGCATGGAATTTCCCTTTTGCCACTGTCCTACGATCGCTCCTTCCGAAATGGCCCCCTCCCCTCCAGCCCCCCACCCCACCTCCGTCCGGTCCGATAGCAGCGCCCCCCCCCCCATCATCACCACCACAACGTCCTCCGTGCGCCAAAGGAACACGCGCAGGAAACACACAAACACCTTCCCGGCAGCAGAGAGCGCGAGCCAACTCCCTCTCCTCCACCCCAGCACCACTCCTCAGGGGCCAAGGTCGGAGCCCGCTCCCACCACCACCACCACCCACCACCACCCACCCACCACCTCCACCACCCACCCACCGCCCCGCGGCTCCACCCGGCGCTCCGGCCGCACCGCGCGAGGCAGCTTGATTAATTCTCGAGCCGGACAGCTCCACATCACCCCCCCCCAACCAGGGACAGATCTCCCTCCATTCCTACCCCCTCCACACACTCTCCCGCCCCTCCACTCTCACCCCCCTCCACACACTCTCCAGCCCCTCCCCTCTCACCCCCCTCCACGCACTCTCCCGCCCCTCCCCTCTCACTCCCCTCCACACACTCTCCCGCCCCTCCCCTCTCACCCCCCTCCACACACTCTCCCGCCCCTCCCCTCTCACCCCCCTCCACGCACTCTCCCGCCCCTCCCCTCTCACCCCCCTCCACGCACTCTCCCGCCCCTCCACTCTCACCCCCTCCACGCACTCTCCCGCCCCTCCCACC